GATGGATGGATAGGTGAGTAGATGGGTGGGTGGATGGATGGATGGACAGATGGACGAATAGATGGGTGGATGGATAGAAGGACAGATGAGTAGATGGGTGGATAGATGGATAAGTGGATGGGTAGATGAATGGATGAATGGATGGAGTGAGTGGATGGCTGGCTGGCTGGGTGAGTGGGTAGGTGAATAGATGGGTGGATGGATGGGTAGTCAGTGGATGGGTGCATGGATAAGAGTGGGTGGATAGGTGGACTGTTACATTCCCAGATAGCAGAATTCTGGTATCAAAAAAGCTTCTTAACATTGCTTATGCAGGTTTAATGACAAGGATTCAATATTCCAAGATTCTGGGTCCTTCAATGGTCAATTAAAATATTTGACCCCTAGCCAGGCTCGGTGGCTCAGCCTGTAATCCCGCGCCTTTGGGAGGCTGAGGTGAGTGGATTGTCTGAGCCCGTGAGTTCGAGACCCGCCTGGGCAGGCGAGACCTCATCTCTACAATAAATCAAAAAATCAGCCGGGCGTGGTAGCACGCGCCTATAATTCTGGCTACTCGGAAGGCTGAGGCGGAAGGATCGCCAGAGCCGAGCAGGTCGAGGCTGCGGTGGCCAGGAGTGGCCACTGCACTCCAGTCTGGGCAACAGAGTGACTCCAACTCAAAAAAAAAAAAAGAAAAAAAATTTGACCCCCTAAGCAGTGCCAGGCACTGGGGTATAATGAAGAAAGACACCATACTGGCTCCTGCCCCAGGGCATTGGCAGTCTCTATCATACCCAGAATGATCATATTTTCCTGGGAATGAAGATGAATTTTCTCTGCTAACATACAGAGACATCAGATGTAACAACCTATTTACTGAGCACTTACCCTGTGCCAGGCTCTGACCAGCCTCATGTCACGGAATCTTTGTGACACTCTGTGAGGTGGATAATACTACCCATGCCAATGGGCAGAACTCAAAAGTGAGGCTCTGAAAGGTGGGGTTGTCTGCCTAGGGTTATCCCACTCAGACAGAGTCCAGGCAGGGTTGGAACCCAACCAGGCTGCCTGCACGCCCAAGCTTGGAACTACACACAGACAGCTCTTCTGGCTGTTACCTTTGCTCGGTATCAGACTTCTTGGAATATTACCCACCACGTCATCGGCAGGAGCCAATGCTCTTTAGAAGAGGCACACAGCTCCGGGTGGCCCCAGTCCCCAGATCTTTCTCCTAAAACCACCGCCCCCACTTATCTTTCCCGTCTGGCCTGAATATGAGTTTGTGAGGTCTGCTGGATTGCTTCTGCCATATGCCACGACACGTTAGACATTCGTCTAGCACATTGGTATATACAAGGCTCCGAGAAGGCACACAGGAAATATATGATTCTAGCCAGTTTCTCGAATGTTTTGAAATGTTACTCAGAAAAGCCTACACTGAGAAGAAGAACCAAGCTAAGAGACAGAGAGGTTGCAGGGCAGGTGTGAGGGTGCAGGGCTGTCTCTTCAAGCACAACCACAGAAGGAACAAACTGAGCTGTGTGTCCTTCTCTGCTCTGCGCCATTCAGAAGTCTGGGGGCAGAGAATCTAGTTGGCCAGTCAAGTCACGTGCCCAACTCCTGGCCATGGGAGAGCAGGGCACCCCACAGTGATGGACAGCATCACCAGAACCGCAGATGGAAGCAGGAGTCACCCTATACCCTCAAAACCCCACTTTTTTGAGTTGGGAGTCTCACGGGGTCTCCCAGGATGGAGTGCAGTGACATGATCATGGGCTCACCACAGCCTTAAAGTCCTGGTCTCAAAGCATCCTCCCATCTCAGCCTCCTGAGTAGCTAGGACTACAGATGTGTGCCATTATGCCCAAATAATTTAATTTTTTTGACAGAGATGATGTCTTATTATGTTGCTCAGGCAGGTCTCGAACTCCTGGGCTCAAGCAATCCTCTTGCCTTAGCTTCCCCAAAGTGCCAGGATCAAAGGCATGAGCCACCACCCCTGGCCAAAACCCCACTTTTTAAGTAATACTCAACAACCCCCAGGATCTGATTCAGAAACTGCATAATTAAATTATTGCTATGACTTGAATGTGTCCCTTCCAAAACTCATGTTGAAATTTAATCCTCAATGCAACAGTATTATGAGGTGGGGCCTTTAGGGGGTGACTAGGCCATCAGGGATGGATTAAGATCCTTATAAAAGGATTAGAGGGGGCCGGGCTCGGTGGATTGCCTGAGCCCGAAGGTTCAAGACCCGCCCGGGCAACTTGATAAGACCGCATCTCTACAATAAGTCAAAAAAAAAAAATTAGCTGGGCGTGGTAGTGCACGCCTGTAGTTCCAGTTACTTGGAAGGCTGAGGCGGAAGGATCACCAGAGCGCAGCGGGTCGAGGCTGCAGTGGCCGCTCCTGGTCTGGGTGACACAGTGAGACTCCAACTCAAAAAAAAAAAGTGGGGAGAAAGTTTGGTTCCTTTTTGCCCTTCTAGTTTCTGCCACACAAGGACACAGCAACAAAGCACCCTCTTGCAGCAGAGGGCAGCCCTCACGGGCACCTTGGTCTTGGACCTCCCAGCCTCCAGAACCGTGAGAAGTCCATTTCTATTATTTATAAACTACCCAGTTGCAAGTATTTTGTTACAGCAGCACAAACAGAGTAAGACAGTGATGCAATGTGTGTGATGCTACATGACTTCCAACCCTACAACCAGTAAGACATAATAGCCACCATGCAAGGCCAGGCATTGCCCCTAGCCAGAGAAACCAGCATCCCTGCAGACCTGTAGGAAACTCATTCCTCTCTCACACAGAGATTCTGGAAGGAAGGAA